CCAAAAGGGCAGAGATGGTGGGAAGATAGGTGGGTGGGGAGAGTTGAAGCAGAGGCATTTCATGCAGGGCAGGAGAATATGATCATGGGATGCTGCGACTGGTCATAAATGCAGGTCAGTCACCAAGCGGTCAAATTTTGATCATGTAACCACAGGGGCGCTGCAATGGCCAGAACTTCAAGGACTGGTCATAACTACCATACATTCAGCACTGTTGTAACTTCAAACGCTTGCTGAAAAAATGGTTGTAACCCTAGGACTACCTGTATATGAGTTAATATTCCAACAGCAAGGCAATTTAATGATTTAGCATTCTTAGATGTGTCTAGTATGCAAAATTTTAATTTTAAGATTAAAAGAAACAAATTCCATGTTTTTTAAATACTGATCGTCTACAGATCTGGAAGTTACCAAAGTTGGGAAACACTGTTTTGGGCCATCTCCTTGATCATCTTTAATTTGAGGCAAAGCTAATGATAAATTTAAATTTACCACCTGAAAAAAAGCTTCCTAGAAATCTTGATTGATTGATTGATTGATTGATTGATTGATTATATGCCATCAAGTCAGTGTTGATTCTTAGCATAATAGATGGATAGGATCTAGGATCCTAGATAGACCTAGAAATCTTTATAGCAAGATGAATAAAGGAATCAGAACACATCCTAAACCCCAGCCCCAGTCAACATTATTAAGACATAAGCTTTCTCAGCAATAAAGGAAATAATTCTCTTTTGAATTAAAGCAATTTTATTCATTTAAAATCTAAGTAGAACTTTGATGGTTCCTATTTATGTAGTGATACCAGTGATACTGATACACCATAGTCAGAAGAACAGATTATAATATATGGCCACAATAGCACTTTAAGTCTTAGCATCCACATTAATCAAGAAAATTGATCATTAGTTGGAACGTTTAATAGGATGCTTGCCCAGCTGGACTGTAATATTCGCCTCATGGAAACTGGGGGTAGAAGCCTTTGGAAAAAGTAGCGTTAACCACCATTACAATAGGAGATAAAACCAATATATTTTTTTGAATCAGTTTCAATAGGAAACCATCAGAGAAAAGTTATAAAGGGATTCATTATAGTCACAATTTTTTGAAGAGAAACATGCAGTGAGGTTAGAAATCTGATCCTGTAATAGCTGTGGAAGTTCCACATTCTGTAAAAGGAGTCTGTTGATGAGAAATGGGAATAAAAATTTAAGAACTGTTGATTCATAGATCCATAATGTGTACTGTATACATTTTCCATATAAATCACAAGTAGAAGATGCACTATTGCGTTGCTTAATTTGTTTATAAGCTAGCTGCTCATTAGATTTGAATCCTTTTCACAATATTGTTGTCTGATATAGTAGAATGAAAAAAAAACAATTTGGGTAGCATAAAGTTTGTTGAATTCACATTCAGCAGAAACCAGAGATCCATATAATAATGATCTATTATTATTATCCATATAATAATAATATATTTATATAATGTAATAAAACCACTTTAATACAACTAAAAACAGCATTTACTTTTAGCTATTTTGTTTGATAAGGCTAGCAAAAAAAATTAAATATCCTGGCAATTTGTTTTCTTTCATTCCAATAGGGTGAAGTTGGCATTGCAGCCAGGGTCACCTTTGAAATTCTTGTAGGTGATAAAGCTGAATCTCGCCTCACAGTGAGCAACGATGGCACAACAGCCATCTGGTATGACTGGCGGAGGCTCCCTCCACCTTTTACTTTTCAGGAGAAAGGAAAAAAAAGGATGCAGAATTTTTATTTTAATACTAGATCAGGTGAGTGATCTGTTATTTTTTTAAGTCAAGCTTGATGTTTATGTAAAAGCTTAATATATATAGGAAAGGAAATCTCCTTATATGGCTGAAAGACATATAAGATACAAAGAGATCTCAACTTAGGTAAGTTCTTTCAGGAAATGCCAAAGAAAGTGGATTGGCTCT